GGTCCATCCTAACATGGATTCACATTTCCTATTGAATGAAAATATGGGGTCTTTTGGCTCCAAGTTTCTTCCCCTCCATAATGACTTGGTTCCCTACTGATTCAGATCAAGTCCCTTCTTCTATCCTAAAATCTCCTATTGCCCACAAAGCAAGGCCCATACTTCCAAGGGTGACCAAAGTCTTTCCTGAGCTGGTCCCAAGACTTCTTTTCATTCTTACTCTCACTGACATTATTACCATCTAAAAATAAACCCTGTACTTATCACACTTGACTAGTGTTGCCCAAACCTAGCCCTTGAACCAGAACCCAATGGGTGCACCAGCTCCTGTCTGGTAGGCCTGAAATGGCACACTGACATCTGTCCTTTACCCCCTCATTTTAAAATTGAAGTATCATATAAATTCAGTGAAATGCACAAATCTTAAGTGTACAATTTGAATGCTGCCTGTGTAACCCACACCATGATCAAGAGAGAGAACATTTCCTTCCTCCTGATGTCCTTCACGCCCAGTGGTATGCTGGCAAAAATCCAACCCTGATCCTGGGGGAAATGCTCTGATGACGGTGCTTGCTGACCTCCATGGTGGGAATCTGAGTCAATCTCAAACTATCAGTGCAATGTTTCTGAAAGCAGAGTTAGGCAGAGAGAGCACGGTGAGTATTTGTGAGCCAGGGCAAGTCGGCTGCAGTACACCACCACTACGGCCCACCCAACTCCATCTCCACCAGCCCCAGACAACCATGATTTTTTCTCACCCTACAACAGTTTCATATGAGTAGAATGATAAATCGTCCCTCTGTATTCATGGGGGATTTGTCCCAGGATTCTCCCCCATACCCAAATCTGTGGATGTTCAAATTCATTATATAAAATGGCAAAATGGTTTTGTGTTTTCATACAACCTACACACATCCTCCTGCAGACTTTAAATAACCTCTAGATATTATACCTACAACAATGGAATACTATATGAATAGTTAAGCTGTATTGTTTAAGGAATAATTACAAGAAAAATTCTGTACAGGTTCACTATAGACACAATTTTTTTTCTTTTTGTTTTTAAGACAGGGTCCTGCTATGTAATTCAGGCTAGACCTGAACTTGCAGTCCTCTTGCCTCAGCCTCCTGAATGCTTGTGCCAGCTCCAGACACAATTTAAAAAAAATTTTTTTCCTGAGGTTGGTTGAATGTGGAACTCCCGGACACAAAGGGCTGATTCTTTCATTCATGTTATTGCATATATCAGTGGTTCATTCCTTTTTACTCCTGAGTAGTATCCCATTGTGGGGAAATAATATAATTTATCTAGCTTTCTGTTGATGGACATATGGGCTGACCCAGTGTTCAGGGATGTTAGGAGTAAGCTACCATGAACATTCTTGTGCAAATCTTAGCATGGACATACCTTCGTTTCTCTTAGGTCAGTTCCTATGAGTGTAATGACCATGGTCTGAGGTGGGCCCCACAGGGGCTGTACTTTATACTTGTGTGTGAGCATTCCTCATCAATACTCACTGTTATAGGAATCTTCATGGCTTAGTTCATTTTGTGCTGCTGCCATGTGCTGCTATGGTATTGTCAATACCATGGACTGAGTAATTCATAATGAACAGAAGTGTATTTGATCAAGTTTCTAGAGGCTGGAAAGTCAAATATCAAGGAGCCAGAATCAGCCAGGTCTGGCTTGATGCTTCAGAACACAGTGTTAGGGGAAATTAAGCCAGCTTCCCTGCCTATCCCTTCTGTGTTCTTTCAGTCTAACACATGGGAGAAGCCGTACTATGGTGGAAGAAGAGAAAGCGAGAGAGCACAGGGAAGTGGGAGGGCGTACCCACTCCCGAGACAAGAAACCCACTCACGTAATTATCATGAGTCTATTCCTCATGGTCTGATCGCCTCTTAAGGTCCTGCCTCTCAAAGCTCACAATAGCAATTACTTTTCAACATTCTAACCACAGCACTTAACTTTAAAAGAGTCCCTTGGGCCTGGCACTGGTGGCTCATGCCTGTAATCCTAGCTACTAAGGAGGGAGAGATCAGGAGGATCATGGTTCAAAGCCAGCCCTGGGCAAATAATTTGTAAGACCCTATCTCAAAAAAAGCCATCACCAAAAAGGGCTGGTGGAGTGGCTCAAGGGGTAGGCCCTGAGTTCAAACCCCAGTACTGCAAAAAAAAAAAAAAAAAAAAAGTCCCTTGGGTGATTTTATTGCACAGGCTAGGTTTGGGAACAACTGGACTGAACTTGTTTCTGTTCTGTACATAGTAAAGACTAATGTTTATTGAGCACTTAATAAATCTCTGGGTCTGTTCTATGACTTAAGCAATGTTATACTATTTAAGCCTCACACAACAACCCTATGAAACACATCCTATTATTACCATTGTTCCTATTTTATAGATGAGGAAAAATTAGGTACAAGAGAGGTAATGTAACTTGCCTAAAGTCTTACAGCTAATAAATGGCAAAAGCTGGGGTTGAAAACAGGCAGTTTGGTTCTGGGCTCACGAGTTTAACCAGAGTTATTCCTGCCTATATGAAGTCCATACATGGTTACTGGCTTTAATCAGTAATTAATTTAATCAATAATTATTGCCATTATAATTTTTATTCAAATCCCACCACCCTTCAGAGTTCAGCTCCAATTCCACCTCTTTCATCAAGTTTTCTCTCATTCCCTCTCCTGTCTTCCTTGTCTCAGTGGAGACGTAATTCCTTTAGAAATGAGTTGGGTAGGTGGTATAACACCTGAAATCCTGGTGCTTGGGGCACTGAGGCAGGAGGATTTCAAGTCGAAGGCCAGTCCAGGTACATAGGTAGTTCCAGTCTAGTCTGATGTGAAATTTCTAAACAAACAAGTAAAGAAAGAAAGAAAGAAAGAAAGACCCTTCAAAACAAACTTCAAATAAGAGACTTTTGGGTTGTCTTCCATTTCTGTATTTCTGTTATTACCCACATTATATATTTGTGAAGTCACTAAGAGTAGGGTCATACTTTTTACACCTGGCACATGGCGAATGACTTGAATTTAGAGTTTCTCTAAATGTGCTCTAAGCAGAATCACCAAGGAGCTATCTCACTGGGAGAAACCAAGAGGGAGACAAATTACTTGCCTTTCCCTAGGGAGAGAGGGGAACCCTCTTCTTTTGCCATGCTAAGAAGCAAACTTGGGCTTTGGTGCCCGTTAGGCAGGTATTCTACCATGTTGAGCTGAGCAACCCTTTCCTTTGAACTACTGAGTAGAAATGGATGGGTTGTCTTAGGGGCCCTGAGGCTTGTCACTGCAGGCTAAGGGAACGCTTGCTGATGGCATACTCAATCTGCCAATGAGGCCCTATCTCCTGCCTGGCTGCCTTCCCAAGGCCTGTCCCTTATCTGGTCCTGCCCCACTGGTTTAGCTAGTAGCAAAATCACCAGATTATCATGTTATTTTCTCCCATCCTGATATATGAAAAGCTATATAATCTGGGGGGGGGGGCGGATCAGTGCAAAATAAAACTGCAAAGCTTATTAAGAATTTCAAGATGGAAACAGCAAGGTGTAACCCAAGCAAGGGGCCCGCAGGACTGGACAGGTCTCATACTCTTGAAGCCAGCCTTGATGAGATGGAATACAACACTCCTCAGAAGACCAAAAAGCAATCACAGAAACCTCAGCATGGGGACAGTTTCTCTCCAAAGTCCTCAACCACCCTGGGTTCTGCATTTTATTGCTGGTGGATTGCTAGCAAACACCCAGCTATTGTGGGATGCATCTCATCCACCAAATAGATGCTCAAGCCCAGTCTCCCAGGACCTATGAATGTGATGGTATCTGGAAATAGAGTCTGTTTTGGTCAAGTTAAGACAGGCCAATATGACTGATATCCTTACAAAAATGGGCAATTTGGACACAGACACAGATAGGCAAAGAGGGATGATGATGTGAACACACACATACAGCACAGGAAGGCAAAGACTGGAGTAATAACATATTACACCTGTAAGCCAAGGAATGCCAGGGGTGGGCAGCAAATCACCAGAAGGTAGGAGAGTGGCATGAGAGTTCCCTGAGAAGGAACCCATCCTGCCTTACACCTTGACCTCAGTCTCCCAACTACTAGTGCTTAAGCCACCCAATTTGTGGGGTTTCCGTACAGCAGCTGTAACCATCATCCCCTCCTCTCCGCCCCCCCCACACCTACACACCTCAAAGCAGGAGCCTTCTGTTACCCTCCTGCCCTTCACAAGCTCTGACACGCCTGGAAAAGCGGTTGTCCCGTTAGGATTGGGACAAGTACGGGGCCAGGGCAATGCCACCTCTGTTTTTCAAGACTCTTTCTCCTATAGAGGTAGAGGGAAGGAATGAGAACCCTGGCCTCCTTGTCTCAGCTCCAAAGTAAAGGCAGAAGGTGCCTCTTCCCAGTGTTAGCGGGACCGTGGCCGGTTTGCTAGTCCTGACAAGGGGATGTCCCGCAATTGATGCAACGCTCAAGTTCATGGCCACAGGTAAATTTATCCTCTCTGCCCAGGGCAGCACCGGTTTGCTTCTTTCCTGCGCTTCTAACGCGCATCCAGCCGTTCTCTGGGCCGAGACCGGTCGGGGTTGGCGTCCCCGGTACTACGGGCTGTGGGGTCACGGGACAAGAGAAAGGGGAAGTGGGTCTTGGGGGCGGGGGTGCTGCTTTGTGAGGAAACAATTTGCAGAGACTGCTAAATTGGGAATCAGTCAAGCTGGCCCCCACTCAGGAGCCTGAAGCACCCTGAGTAAGGGACCTGCGCTTCCCCAGGGCCAAGTCACCGCAGTGCACCGAGACATGGCCGCCGAACCCCGACTCCGGGGCCGCAGCCGCGGACTCAGGATGACGCAACGGCGGCGGGTTGCATCAGCCCTCACCCACGTACTCAGCCCGCCTCTCCGCCTCTCTGCCGGGTGGATCCGGGCGCTGATTGGTCCACGTTAGGCAGTGACCTCTGCCTCAACCAATGGGCGGCAGCCACAGAGAGGGCTGACCGCAGAGCCCGGGCGCGGAGCGCCTATAAAAGGTGGCTGGGGCTGGGGCGCGCGCCCCAAAGACGCGAACCGTCGCTGCGAAGCTTTGGGCTGCTGCTACGCCGCCTGCCTGGCATCTCCAAGCGCTACCGAGTTCACAGCGCCGCCGGCATGGAGCCTGAGCCGGAACCCGAGCCGGTCACGCTCCTGGTGAAGAGCCCCAACCAGCGCCACCGCGACTTGGAGCTGAGCGGCGACCGCAGCTGGACGGTGGGCCGCCTCAAGGCCCACCTGAGCCGCGTCTACCCCGAGCGCCCGGTGAGAGGGGCCCCTGGGGAATGCCACGTCCGCCTCTTCTTCCGGGTAGCCTCTGCCTTCGCTGGCCTTCCCGCCGACGGCCGGTGCTGGCCCGGTCACTTCCTGCATCGCTGAGGCCCCCTCCTCCTGCCCTACCGCTGTGGGCGCCCCTCTCCTTGTCCAGCTGTCACCCCTTCTTTGCAGGCCGACATCCTTTCGCCTTCCCGATGAGCTGCCACCCCTGTCATTTCACCTCTTCTTGTCCCCAAATTCCCAAGGCTGTCACATTCCTGCCCCACCTCCCAGGCTTCTTCCGGATCCTCCAGATGTGGCTCCTAGCCCTAACCAAACCAGGGAAAAAGCACTTTGACCTTGGGTGAATCGTTTCGCCATCCAGGTCTGTTTTTCCCCAAACACCCGGGAGACTAGGTGTTCCCAATTAGGCTTGCGTCCAGTGGATAGAAATCAGAAACACACGCCGAGAAACGAGTTTTCTTAGTGCAGGCTTTCCGCGGGTTGCCAACCTGGGCCAGTGGCTGGAGGGTCAGGGTGAGTGCCCAGCGTGGACTCGGTCCTGAAGGTCCCCCGCCCAGAAGCAAGACGTGGCTCTTTCTTTTTCCCTCCTCCCCCCGCCCCCGTCCACCTTCCGCTGGCTGCCCCTCCCTGTCGCGCGGAACTCGGGAGTCCTTGCTCAGTTCCAGGGAGGAGCCCCGTGCACTTTCCAGCCAAGGGTGATTTAGAAGAGAAACAGCAGGAGTCGCCCTGCCTCTGGTCTTAAGACTTTGGGCCAGCTAGGGAGACTTCCTTGCTTTGTTTTGGTGACACATCTGTCAACAGCGCCCTTAGCGCCGCCCTCCCTTCCGCCCGCCCTCCTTCCCGCCACGTGATGGAGGCTGGGCGCCGGACCTTCCTTTATTTACTTTGTACTCGGTTGTTACGTAAGTGTCAGCAGTGTTTTTCACTGCCCACGAGTGTATTTCTCCATCCAACGGGAGAAGGCATCCGGACGGCAAAAGACGAGAGTTCTTTGAAGAGCTCCCACCTGCAGTAGCGCTGCTGTGTGTTTGGTTTTGTTCCACTTGGAAGAGAATGTAGAAGTGACTTTTCCTTCTGAATTAAGAAATTTCCTGTGGCTAGAGGTGTAGCTGAAGCAGTAGAGCGCCTGCCTAGCAAGCAGCAAAGCCCTGAGTTCAAACCTCAGTCCCACCAAACAAAAAAAAAAAAAAAAAGAAATTTCCTTCCTTTGAGATGAGCTCCCATTCCAGTGTCTTTTAAAACTCACCTTGGCACTCTTCAGTTTCACCATAGGCGCTTCCAAAAAAGCAGGTGGCCTTGTTGCTGGGAGAGATGGATGTTAGGGCACCCAAATAGGTACAACAGTAGTCTCTTCTTGCATCATTTGTAAAGTGCTGTGTTTTGAGAGAGTGTCCCGTGGGCACTGTTGAGTCTGAAGCCCTAAGATTGTAAATATAAAAGATCTCCCATATACACAAATCTGTGTTTAAAAACTATTATGGCAGAAACATTCTCATCATTTGTTTTTTGTAGCTTAAAATGGTGTCATGTGAGAAGCCCTTCTTTATAGTAGCTGTGTGCTTCACATTTGTTTTCAAATCAGCCTTTTGGTGAGGACAGAGTGTCCATTCAGGCCCTTGAACTGGGGAAACAATTCAAATCAACAGGCAACTGTGGTTTTCAAACCTTTTCTGCTGGCAGACTCCACACCACAATAGTATTTTGCAAATTCATGGGTATAGCATTTTATCTGTAGTCACTGAGGACAATGGTGAACCCAGTATCTGGGAGTTTTTGTTTTAGGTGCACAGTGTCAGAAAGTTCTGCTGTACATTGTTAAGTAGATGCAGTTTTTGCTCTTTTCTTTGGTTTTAAACAACCTGCTTTATCATCCAAGGCTACAAAGAAAGCTTTAGTCCAAGGTTTACATAATTGGTTATTCTAGCAAGAGCAGGTTGACAAGTTGGTGATCTTTAGTGAGATTTGTATAAAAGCCTGTGGAGTTCCTATGACTTTAAAGTCACTTATGGAGGAAAAAAGGGACTCAAATTTTGACTTTAGCACCAGGTAACTTTGGATGAATCAGTTTTCAGATTTTCTTCCCTTAAAATAGGGATAGTACCTCTCACGGGGTTAGTACACAAATTGTTACCCATGTCTCATCTCTATAACTGTATGTCAGCCCGTCCTCTGGGGCTTATATTTAGAATTGCTTCATGTTGTTTTGAAGCAAGGCTTAGGCAGTTTGTGTGAAAGCTGATCTTGGGAGACCTTGGAGTTTTCTCTGAGGCCAAACCAGATTTTAAAGTTAATTGCTGTAGGAGCCCCACATACAATTTGGTTTTTAGTGGCAGAAAGTAGTTTCCCCTAGAATTAAGAAGTCAGGTATGTTGCCATAGTTTTTGTGGACTGGCGATAATTTGTCATTCTCAATTTATTTGCATGTTAGAGATCAGTTTAAAGTTAAGCACTTTCTAAATAAAAGTTTTATATATGAGCCTGTCAAAAGTGTTTTCCTGTGATACTTGGGAGAAGCACCTATAGTGAAGTTATTTGCATGAACTGATTTCCTCGTTTGAGTACTTTGGGGCTAAATGCTAACCCATGTTACTCTCTCTTTCCACAATCAGCGCCCAGAGGACCAGAGGTTAATTTATTCTGGAAAGCTGTTGTCAGATCACCAGTGTCTCAGGGACTTGCTTCCAAAGGTATTTAGTGGTACTTACACATTAACTGTGGAATGTTTTCAGCACTTACCAGGTTGAATTCAGGTTCTAAGGTATTCTCTATTACTTTAGCAGGAAAAACGGCATGTTTTACATCTGGTGTGCAATGTGAAAAGTCCCTCAAAAATGCCAGAAACCAGCACAAAGGTATGTCTGCTAATTCATGATTCTAACAGTCTTGACCCTTGGATTCTCAGAGGAGTAAAGGAAGTGGATAAAACTCAGAAGAGAGATTTTACAGCCTTTTTACCAAGTCCCATTTTATTTCTTCCCCAGGGCATCTCAGAAATTAGGAACTATATTACCAGAACAAGTGAGAATTTGGTGTAGTCAGAGTAAATATTCCATGAGTAATGTGTACATTACTCTGACTGCTGGGATGCCACCTGTACTCCAAATGAGCTAGCAAGGCACTTGAACATGGGTATTTATTGTGTTTACAGAGTATATTTCTTCTAAGGAGCCATTAATTTTTATAAAGAGTAAAAAAAATGGATAGGAAAAGGGGCAGTCTTTATTAAGTGATCCCTATTATTATGGCAGGCCTGGGCTTTGAACTCAGGGCTTCATTTTTACTAGGCAAGGGGTCTACCACTTGACCCACACCCCCAGCCCCCAAAATGTTTACTTAGATGTTTTGTTTTGTTTTGTTTTGATGGTACTGGGGTTTGAACTCAGGGCTTCATACTTGCTGGGCAGGCGCTCTGTCGCTTGAGCCACTCTGCCAGTCCTGATACATGGCATTAATATTTCACTGTGGTGGGGCACTCTAAATTTGTTTTAGAACTGTATTTCCTAATGCATCTCAACATGACATAGGAAATTCCCTTTCCTTTACATTGCTGACTGGGGTATAAATGTAAATCTTGTTGATCAAATTTAATTTTTAGAATTACTAATTTTAGCACCACAAGATGTGTAGAACATTTTCAGGAAGCTTTCCTACCAAGTTAACTGCATTGGAAGATTTTAGTGAAACTGCAGCATAGCTACCCTAGGGGGAAAAAAATCTAGATTTTTCAGTATCTATATTTTTTTGAACTGGTAGGCTCAAACCCAGGGCTTCATACACACTGGGTAAGTGCTCTACTTCTGAGCCATAGCCCCATCTCTAGTATCTATAAATTGAAAATTGTGTTAAACAAATTTCACAATATTTTTTGCCTAACATTTCCATCTATTTAATTTTGTTGAGTTCAGGAGTGGAGGTGGGGGGATATGCCGTTCACAGCAAAACAGTTCTTTGAGCTTGATTTTAGGCAGTTGCATCAGGTCTTTGTTCTGATGTTCCTATTACACTCAGGTTGCCGAATCCATGGAGTGGCCCAGTAGTCCTAATCAGGGGCAGTATCTTGGGGATTCCTCAAGTGACGGTTTAAGGCAAAGGGAAGGTCTTCGGAACCTTTCTCCCTCTGGATGGGAGAACATCTCAAGGTGAGTGTTAATGAAGAGCTAGGTTTCTACACCATGATGTTCCCTCACTTGCATCAATTTAAGGATAAGGTGCGTTTACACATGTATAGTCAGAGAACTTTGAGATGTTCAAGATGGCTTCACTTTGTTTCTTTTAATAGATTTTTTTTGTGGGACTGGGGTTTGAACTCAGGGTCTCATACTTGCTAGGCAGGTGTTCTTACCACTTGAGCCACTCTACCAGCCCAGTGGCTTTACTTTGAAGATCTCTTAGTAGTTAATATTTTTTGATACACAGCCTTTTAAGAGATGCAGGTGTTTTACAGGCTTTTGGCTTCCTGTGTAGGCATGCTTCCCATTGAGCTGACCACTCGGTTGCCCTGTGATAGAAAATTAGTACTGCTGAAACAGAAACAGCTGTTGTCAGAGTTGTGCAGCTGCTTTGCTGACCACCTTCGTGCTTTATCATAACAAAGGGAGACAAAAGGTGAGCAGACTGAGGAGTGTTTTCCAGGTGGCCGAGGTACTCAGAGAAAAGGCCATTTCTCTAGAGCAAGTAGAGCTCTTCTTTAGAGTGAAAGCCATAGTGTTTACATGCCCTACTGTTTGGGTTTTTAAAAGTGCTTTAGGAAAAAATAAACTACAGCTGAGATTCTGTAACTGTTGAATTCCCCTGTTCTCCTTTTCCTAGTAGGCTTTTTTTTTTTTTTGGTCTTTTTATTTTTTGAGACAGAATCTCGCTATGTAGCTCTGCCTCAACCCCCCAAGTTCTGGAATCATAGGTGTGTGCCACTATGCCCTGCTCCCTTAGTAGTTCTTATATTTGTTTTTGTTTTCTGTCACTGAACAATTCCCCAAGTCCATTATATTTGAATTTTGATAACCCAGGTGTTTGAGGAAGGAGTACTTTTTTTCCTGAATAGAAATTTCAAATATACACAAAAGTAGACCAATAATGATCAAAGGGTGCCACACTTGCTTCATCTCTTGTCCCCTTCTCCCCTTTTTTGAAGTATTAAAAAGTAATTTTCAGACATCTTTTCATTTCATCCCCTCACATTTCAGTATGTAACTGTAAAAACCTTTTAGTTATCTTGCATAGCAATGCCATAATGAGATGTAACAGAATTTTAAAAGTACTTTTATCATCTCATTTCCATGCACTTTTTTAAATAATCCAAAAACAGTACCATAAAGGGCTGGGGATATAGCTCAGTGTTAGAATGCTTGCCTAGCATGCACAAGGCCCTGAGTTCTAGCCCCAGCACCACAAAAACAAGACCAGTATCATACTAAGGCTTTCTTGTATTAGAATACAAGTTAGAAAAACTGGGTAAAAAAGACTGTCAGCATGTACATTGGGTAATTGGATACATTATTGGATAGAAAATTTAAAATTGTTTTCCTTATTCTAGCTGTTCAACTTGAGAATTGAGGCCTGTATCTGAGTGCTTGAATTTCACTATATTTAAGTGTATTGACTTCATTCAACAAATATTTGCTGAACAGCTAGTGCATATAACCTGAAGTGTATGCAGGGATGACCGCATAATTTGTAGTCTTCCCACAATTCTGTGACAGTTTCACTTTTGTGAAGCATTGCTAAAGGAGCTCACTGTAAGAAGCACAAGCCAGGTGACTCCCACTCGCCTGCTGTAAACAGGTGAAGGCTGATATATGACTGAAAAAACCATGAGTTTGGCATCAAACAAACCATGTCTCAAGTCCAGCGCTGCTCCTTACTGGCTTGTGGCCTTGTGCAAATCTCTTGTCTTTGTTGAGCTGTACTTGAGCTCCTCTCTGTAACACCAGTTTGAGATCTCTCCCCACAAGGTTGTTGGGGATCCAGCAACCTGTCCAGGACATTCAGTTATCAATAAGGACACAATTATGTGATGCCACATGCACATATAACTCCACCACAGTAAATTCAGATCTAGGGATTGAGGGGAGGAGTGGATGATGGGAAAAGGGGAGAGATTTCTTTCAGGGTGATGGTGAATTTAGTCCTGCAGTGAGATTTTCTGATTTGGGGGGGTAGGAGATTACTTAACCTGGAAAGGTTCAGCTTGTTTGTGCATCTGTGCACAAAACAAGCAGCAGTTCTCTGTTGACAACCTGACAAGATCCTAGTGCAGGACAGGGCTCTTGTTTTCCGTGGGATCTGAATCATGGTAGGAGGACTTTGTCATTCAGCTCGAGTTACACAGGTGCGTCATTACTACATAACTGCCATTCTTCTATCTCCTTGATTTGAATTCCTAATTTTAATTTAGTTTTTGGTTATTCATACCCAACCAACTCAAGATGTGTTTGTTTTGTTTTAATCTGTGTGTAGGCCTGAAGCTGTCCAGCAGGCATTCCAAGGCCTGGGGCCTGGTTTCCCTAGCTACACAACCTACGGGTGGCTGCAGCTTTCCTGGTTCCAGCAGATCTATGCACGACAGTACTACATGCAGTAGTGAGTCTTTTGCCCTGCTGAGTGTGGTCCATGTTCAGGATGGAGGGATAAGGGTGTTTTCTCTGCTCTTTCTGGTTGTGAGCAGAGTAGAGTAAATGACGGCTGCTTTCTTATTTGTGAATAGTTGCAGGGTGCTTGTCTAATAAGGCATAGTTTAATGCCTTTATTAAAGTTATCTCTTATATATGTTACCTCTTTTAATTTGCCTTATCCTTAATGTTTTGTGAAAATTTTAATTTGCTAAGGCACCATAATTTTATAGTGGTCTTGATATTTAATTCCAGATAAAATTTACCATATGGCTTTTCTTAGAAAAGGCATTTATAGGTATGACTGTTAGTAAAAATGTTCTTTGCTAAGTTGAACAAAAATCAAGTGGATGTGTACCTAGTTAGAGCTCTTACCAGTGAAAAACCCCTTGTAAATAAGGTTATAAAAGCCATGGTCTTCAAAGTGCTTTCCCTCAACAGTATCTGCCTCTATTATTTTAGTTTAGCTGCCACTGCTGCGTCGGGATCTTTTGTACCATCACCAAGTGCACAAGAGATACCTGTAGTCTCTGCACCTGCTCCAGCCCCTATTCCCAACCAGTTTCCAGCTGAAAACCAGCCAGTCAATCAGAACGCAGCTCCACAGGTGGTTGTTAATCCTGGAGCCAATCAGAACTTGCGGATGAATGCACAAGGTGGCCCTATTGTGGAGGAAGAAGATGAGATAAATCGGGACTGGTTGGATTGGACCTATTCAGCTGCTACATTTTCCGTCTTCCTCAGTATCCTCTACTTCTACTCCTCCATGAGCAGATTCCTCATGGTCATGGGGGCCACCATTGTTATGTACCTGTAAGCACATGGTTTCTCTCTCCTTTTCCTCCTTCGCTGAAAGTTATCCTATACTGCAACCCAAATCAAGTTCAGATTTTCTCTTTCGAGTGACTCCGTCACTATTGAAGGAGGTTTGTTTAATGATGTCTCATTTTGGCACTTTCAGTGTCATGGCGTGGTTATGCATTGCTCAGAACACACAATCATGCTAGTATATGGAGAATATTCTTTATTTTCCTCAAGATAAGTTACCTTCCAGCTCATGAACCACAGTAACACAACCATATCAAGGCATGGAAAATTGTAGTTGCTTTCAGTAAGAACATACTTTTTTTTTTTTTCATGCTATAGTTGTCTTGCAAGATCAAGGTCAGGCAGTGACTGTTAGCATAGCCTGAAGGATCATGGAACTTTGACAGAGTCGATGTTTGCTTTAGCTGTGGTCTAGAGCATAGTTCCCAACGGGGTGATTTTGAGGTCATTTGACAATGTCTGGAGACATTTTCGGTTGTCACACCTAGAGAAAGGGTGGTCCCGCTGGCATGCAGTGGGTAGAAGCAAAGGATGCTGCTAAGCTTTCTGTCACATGCAGCACACCTCCACTGTAGAGTCCCAGCCCCTCATGTCCTAGCACCAAAGTGAAAAGGCTTGGCCTGGAGCATAGGTCTTTGTGGCTGGAACTGAAAGAAGGAATTTTTCCTTTATAATAAAAATGGACATGTATTTTAGTTTTTAACAGTAAAAATAAGAAATATCTAGAATATACAGATAAAACATATATCCACAATTATTGCTAATATTTTGTCATACTTGTTTCAAGACTTGGATTTAAATAGATTTTCCAGATAAAGCTTTCAGTCAGTTCTTTCTGTAGTCACCAAGTTTAGGTCATTATCATATTATACTATACATACGTAATTACATCTTAGCATGTGAGTGTATCTTCCCCCTCTGTTGAGGTTTCCAAATGTAAAGTCTAGTTCAGATACTGTGTGCCACATGCTGTTTTGTTGCTGAGGTATAGAACACAGACCCTGCCCTCAAGAACCTGAGGCCACGAGAAAGTCTAGGGGACTTTCTCTTGTGATGGGGTGGCTGTGCAGCTGGTCTTGCTGTGTGACTAGAGGAGTGGAGCCTTAGACTCTTGAGTGGATCCCACTGTGGCATTGGCTAAGATGGACTTGTATGTGCTTCCTTTGAAGGCATCATGTTGGGTGGTTTCCATTCAGACAAAGGCCACTTCAGAACTTCCTAGATGATGGACCTCGGCCGGAAGCTGCAAATCAGGACCCCAACAATAACCTGCAGGTATGGAGCCTCTGCTGCGGGCTCTCCAATCCTGAACCTCTACATTGCCAGCGCTTGCCTTCCATTTTATTAGGCCAAATTGTCATGATTTCTTTAAATTTATTCATAGAGCAGCGGCTATTTTTAAAACTTTGAATATGCCATAGAATTCATCAGGTGTTTTTGTCATGTGGCAATTAGCATTTTTGCATATGTAAGTAGTGTTTTACACTCACATTTTGAGATTCAATGGTATATAATAGTGTTACACCATGGAAACTGCTAACAGATAGCTATTCTAATTAAGGATTAGGCACATAAGCACATCTCACAGAATAGATTTCCTAGAAAATAATGTACAGAAATAGAATATTTGTTTTTTGTTTTTTTTTTTTTTCATTTTTCTTTTATTATTCATATGTGCATACAAGGCTTGGTTCATTTCTCCCCACTGCCCCCACCCCCTCCCTTATCACCCACTCCGCCCCCTCCCTCTCCTCCCCCTCCAAATACCCAGCAGAAACTATTTTGCCCTTATTTCTAATTTTGTTGTAGAGAGAGTATAAGCAATAATAGGAAGGAACAAGGGTTTTTGCTGGTTGAGATAAGGATAGCTATACAGGGCATTGACTCACATTGATTTCCTGTGTGTGGGTGTTACCTTCTAGGTTAATTCTTTTTGATCTAACCTTTTCTCTAGTACCTGTTCCCCTTTTCCTATTGGCCTCAGTTGCTTTAAGGTATCTGCTTTAGTTTCTCTGCATTAAGGGCAACAAATGCTAGCTAGTGTTTTAGGTGTCTTACCTATCCTCACCCCTTCCTTGTGTGCTCTCGCTTTTATCATGTGCTCATAGTCCAATCCCCTTGTTGTGTTTGCCCTTGATCTAATGTCCACATATGAGGGAGAACATACGATTTTTGGTGTTTTGGGCCAGGCTAACCTCACTCAGAATGATGTTCTCCAATTCCATCCATTTACCAGCGAATGATAACATTTCGTTCTTCTTCATGGCTGCATAAAATTCCATTGTGTATAGATACCACATTTTCTTAATCCATTCGTCAGTGGTGGGGCATCTTGGCTGCTTCCATAACTTGGCTATTGTGAATAGTGCCGCAATAAGCATGGATGTGCAGGTGCCTCTGGAATAACAGTCTTTTGGGTATATCCCCAAGAGTGGTATTGCTGGATCAAATGGTAGATTGATGTCCAGCTTTTTAAGTAGCCTCCAAATTTTTTTCCAGAGTGGTTGTACTAGTCTATATTCCCACCAACAGTGTAAGAGGGTTCCTTTTTCCCCGCATCCTCGCCAACACCTGTTGGTGGTGGTGTTGCTGATGATGGCTGTTCTAACAGGGGTGAGGTGGAATCTTAGCGTGGTTTTAATTTGCACAGAAATAGAATATTTGTAAGGCAGATAAATGCATGATCCTAAAGGAGATAATTTTATAAAAAAAATTGTCTCCATAGTAAGTTTTCAGAACTCCAGGTTTCTATTATTGATTTCTTAACTCAGAGCACTGCCAAAATTAGAATAATATCTATGTTTAATTAGTGGTGAAGCTAATTACTAACACTTGACAGTAGTTGGAACAAGTTGCTTCATTTGCTCTGGGTACATGCAAATATTCATGAAATACTCAAAACTCTTGAAAGGTCACCAGCAACAGTAGTGCTATGTAAACCCAAGAAGAGCCTCATACAAACCGGGTCATCACTCCTCAGGGCTGGCTGCCCTGGCTGGCTGGCTGGCTGGTTTCTGGGAGTCTGGGCCAAGGGCCAGGTATCTACCCTGCCACCTACATGCATTACTTGGTGTTCATCATGTCCCAAATATTCTCCTTGTTTCATCACCTGCAGGAAGGTGCCGATCCTGATCCTGAATCGGAGGACCCCAACCGCCTCCCCCCAGACCGGGATGTGTTGGGTGCTGAGCAGACTAGTCCCTCATTTGTGAGCACAGCATGGCTTGTCTTCAAGACTTTCTTCGCCTCTCTTCTTCCAGAAGGCCCTCCAGCCATAGCAAACTGACAGCACTTGGCTCTAGCAGCTTGAGGCTTCAATGGGCATGGACTGGATCTAGACTCCAGCTGAATTTCTTCACCTGGATGTGACACCACCCAGAGTCATTGAAAACTGATGAGGATGATGATAAGCTTTTGTGATCAAGCAAAAGCACAAAATAAGACATGAGGCCGTGATAGAAACTGATGAACAAAAACTGCCCAGGGCTTCTCATGTCGTTATTCTGAAGAGCTTTAATATATACTGTATGTAGTTCAATAGGCACTGTAAGTAGCAGGCATTAGGTATGTCGCATGTTAATGCCTGAAGAACCTCCCCCAGATGTGTGTCTGCATGTGTGTTGTACATAGAAGTCATAGATGCAGAAATAGTTCTGCTGGTACGATTTGATTCCTGTTGGAATGTTTAAATTACACTAAGTGTACTACTTTATACAATCAGTGAAATTGCTAGACATGTTAGCAGGACTTTTCTAGGAAAGACTTGTGTATAATTGCTTTTTAAAATGCAGTGCTTTAAACCAAGGGGACTTTGCAGAGGTGGAAACCTTTGCTGAGTTTCTGTTCAATAAAGTTTTACTATGAATGATTGTGGCAGAGACTCCTGTTATCCTGGCAGCGTACTCTGTGTCCATTGTTACTAGAGGGTCAAAAATTAATTTCCTGATGCTTAAGTAACCCAGCTGCTTCTTTATGTAGAAGAACTGTTTGTGTTAGGGGAAATGATAAGGTAAGGCCATAGAATTTTTAAGTTACAAGATTATGCTTGTGTGTGCACCCACTTCCTGACTTAAAGGTCACAGACTTAAGTAGGAATCCACCAAGGTTAAATTACCCAAGTTTAAAGCCAGGGGCATTAAGTGCCTTCCACCTTGGCAATTGTGCAATAGTGTCACCACTCAAGTGGCAACTTTTGTACACTGAGCTTCCTTTTGTGATTTTAATTCCTTAATTTTGTAACTAATTTTATTAAAAGCAAAATTCTGTGTGTTTCTATGAGTAGTGTTATGGGTAGAATGCTAAAGGCTTGATCAATGTTCTTTTGACAAAGTAAATGGCCTTTGGTGTCATGGTTGTGATCATTTAAATTAATCCTTACTAGGAATAGTGTATATATCACATGAGCAGTTCATAGCAAGATGCTGGGTAGATAGGTGTTTATGTATCTTTGTGCTTTCAGAAGGTAATTAAAGAGTTAATTGGCAGAAAGTTTCAAATGACAGCCTCAGAATAAAGTGCTATTAGAAAACAGTGGTGATATTGAGGGACTGTAACAGGTGACATTTACTTGAAGATGGAAGAGGCTCCAGACAGGAGTTCATATGAAGAGTTCTGTGGATGAGGAAGTGGGTGCGAAGTGAGGGGAAGAGTGTGCACAGGGAGAGAAGGGTCACAGCAGGTGCAAAGCATAGTGTGGGACTTGACTGTCTTGCCAAACAGCTAGAGCTGGGCTCTGTTTGGATCTAGGTCTTGGTGGCTTGGGAAAGCAAGCATTAAGGATTCGTAAAGTCTTGAGTGGAAAGGCCTGTTGCTTTCCAGAGGCAAGAGCACTGCCACTTGATGCAGGGGCTGAGGCAGGCCATTGGCAGTGCCCATCTCCTGTTTCTAGGAACGGTGCACCCCTGTTATAGGTTATGAGTTAAACTCTGCATTCCACAGCCCCCTAACCAATAGTACCAGCCAATTTTATATGCCTTAGTTTTTTGTTTGTTTGTTTTGTTGGTGGGTACTGGGGGTTGAACTCAGGTCATATGCCTTAGTTTAACTGAAGTGTTCTAAGGCATGAAATACATAGTCACCCAGATTCCAGCCTTTTAGAAAGATTCAATTAGGATATTCTATGGTGATGTTTTGCATATTTCCACTGCCACATCAAGCAGGGCCTGCCAGTGTCCTCTTTACTCATACAAGTGAGAGTTGTCAGTGCAGTTACCAAATCAGATTAGAGAACAATTTCAGGAATTCTGGACCAATTCAGAAAACTCATCCTGAAGAATTCTTTTCCTCTCCAAGTACTCTTGGCACCCAACTCTGTATTAGTTCCAGTTCTACCAGAGAAAACGGAACAGTAGGATATGTAGTAGTTCCCACTGATCAGTAAAGGGTATGTTTTAAGGCTCCCACCAGTACCAAACCTATCCGATAACTAGGATGACTACTAAGTGACTAATGGGCAGGAATGGGTACACTGGACAAGGACAAGTCATGCCCCAGCAAGGTAGTCTGAGATCATGCTATTCAGACTGGTGTATAATGTAAAAACTTACGAGTTACTTCTAGAATTTTCCACTTAATGTTTTTGTAAGATAGTTCATGGTGGGTAACTGAAACTGTGGATACGAGGAACTACTGATTGGAAAGAATTGGCTTACATGGTTGTGGGGACTAGCTAGACAATTCTGAAATCAGAGCAAGTGGGCAAGAGCTGATGCCACAGTCCCCAGGCCTAATTATTTCTTCCTCAGAAACCAGTTAGAGCCCTTCCTAACCCCACAAGGTTAAGAACTCAGGTTCTTAAGGCCTTTCAACTGTGAGGAAAAAAAGAATGAGCTTCACATTCCCAGCCCAAGTTCTGCAGAAGGGACCTGAAAGCTTCTGTTTGCGCTGAAAGAAACCTTATATCCTGGGCAGCTGCAGACTGAGATTTCTGAAAACGAAGCCCAAAACCTTATCTTGGAAGTGGCTGAATTACAATGCAAAGTGAATTCCTAATTTTGCTGGGTGTCTTCTGGATACTAAAGGTGTAGAATAATGGTGAAAGGAATATAAAGTGGGGTTGGCTAGATTGAGCTCCTTAACAGAGGTTCTGGATTTGATGCTTTGAAATGAGGGCTTAAGAAGGACTCTAACTGGGTGGTTAATGGTTGGATGACTGAAACATGGAACCCAAGGTGGCCTACACTAAATAAAATTGGCATGCCAGAACTGCATTGGTATACTTTAGAGGAAGTATCCAAACGCTTAGAGAGACTATAAGGTTACTGTCACCTGCTTCCCCAACCTGGGGATGTCCAGACGACATACCTTGCATTATAACTGTAGAAATCTGTGAAGGAGCCCTAAACATCACCAAAGAGCTTGGGGGGTCTCCCTTTTTATAGGTCAAAAATTATAATGAGAACTTGCCACTGATCTGGTATACTACATACAATGAAGATAATTTGGTCCCGGAGTGGCAGGGACCAAATGGCAAAGACCAGGTAGAGGTGGTTATCATTGAAGAGCAGAGTCAAACAGTAATCCAAACAGTTCATTTGCAGAGACATATGGCAGTGGCTAGTTGATTACTATGTTATTCCTAGAAAAGGGAGAAAGGAGCAGTTGACTAAGTTCTCACTTGATCCTAATAGCAGAAAAATTCTAGGACAAGTGAACAAAGTCAAATCTGAATCATAAAAACAATCACAGCTCCTCAACCAATTCCCACACTTGAGCCAGTTTACAGATCCAGAACTCCTCAAATGAAGGAGAATCTGGGTTCACTGAGGAAGGACTCTGTCACACCATCAAAAATGTATGCTGTTAGTCTTTCAGTATAACTGCTCTCATTGTGAGAAAAGTAGAAGCTTTTAACTTGGTACTGTACCTTAATGGATGGTAAACTCTCAACCAGGGACCAGCAAGACCATGATCTGTCCATCATACACTGGGCCAGCCGGGCATGTACAGCAGCATCCATTGTCAAATGGAAGTGGTACACATGTGAACAGACCCAGAGAGCATAAGTTACAAGAAGAGGCGGCCTAAATGCCCATGGTCCCCACCCCTGACACTCCCACTCTTTCCTGGTCTGCACTAGCAGCCTTATGGGAGTGCCATGTGATAAGCTGATGGAGGAAGAAAGGAGTTGGGCCTGGCTCACAGATGGTTCTGCACGTCATACAGTACTACCCAAAAGAGGACAGCTGTTGAATTATGGCCCTTTTCTGGGACATGACTGAAGGGCATGGAGAAGGACTCTTCTCTGTGGGCAGAACTTTGAGCAGTGTAGGGTTTACTTGCTCTGGAGGAAAATAGCCAAGGTGTGAGTGTATACTGACCCATGGCATGGCCAGTGGTTTGGCACGTTGGTCTGGGACCTGGAAGGAGCATGACTGAGAAATTGGTGACAAGATCTGGGAAAAGCATACAGTTACACCTCTCTGACTAGGCAAAGAGCATGAAGACATTTGTGTCCTATGTGAATTCTCACAGACGGATGAGCTCCGCAGAGAGGGGTTTTAATAATCGGGTAGACAGGGCGACCTGTTTCTGGATATCAGTCAGCCTCTTTCCCTAGCCCACTCCTGTCATTGTCCAATGGGTTCATGAACCAAGGGACATGGGACATAGGTAGAAACTGGGATTTCCACTCCCCAAAGCCAACTTGGCTACAGCCACTGCTGAGAGCCCTGTCTGCCATTCACAGAGATGGAGCTAAGTTAAGATGTAGCCTCTTTCCAGGGCAATTGGCTAGCTACTTGCTCAGCTGTATTACATAGGACTGCCTCCACGTGGAAGGGGCATGTGGTATTTATAGTTCTCTGAAAGTGGTTGTTTCTGCCATATGTCTTCTCCATCTTCATAGTATTCCACCCACCACTGCTTCTGATCCAGGCACTTACTTCACAGCAAACCAAGTGTGACCATGAATCTATGTTCATAGAATCTGCTGGCTTATCATATCCCCTACTGAACTGGATCGAGTAGCATTCACCAAAATGTGTGTTCACCTGGAACCTGTGAATGTGACTTTATTTGGAAATAGGGAGACTGCAGAGATAACCAAGTTAGAATGAGGTAATACTGGGTAGTTACAAGAAGAGAGAAATTTGGACAGACACACAGAAGGAAAACAACCTTGCGAAGGCAGAATCAGAGATGAATGTTTCTGCTATAAGCCAACCAACATGAAGGATTGCCAACAACCATCAGAAGCCAGGAGAAGCAAGAGAGATTCTTCTCTAGAGATCCCAGAGGGAAAATTTCCCTGCCCATACCACTTCCAGCCCCTAGAACTCTGAGAAAGAATGTCTCTGTTGTAAGTCACCCAATCTGTGATAATCTGTTACAGAAGTCCAAAAAAATAAATGGAGCTGTTATCCTAAAGCATTTGGCCTGTTAGAGCTGTGGAACCACCTTTTGAAGACTCAGTTATAGTGGCAACACCCTGCATGGCTGGGACAATGTCCTCCAGACTGTATATGCTCTAAATCTGCATCTGACATAGCCAGGAACCCCTGGTGATTCACTAGGAAAATGTTTGCTTCTCTTCCCCACAGTCGTATGTTCTATGGGTCCACAGGACTTGGTTCATAATGGAGTGTATAAGATTTCTAGGGCGGCTGCCATGTTAAGAACCTCCCACAAACTGTATGGGCATGGAGGCACACACCTGTAATCCCAGCACTCTAGAGGCTAAGGCACAAGGATTGCAGGTTTGAGGCCAACCTGGACTATGTAGTGAGTCCTTGTCTCAAAAAAACAAAAACAAAAATAGAGATTTATTCTCACAGTTCTGGAGGTTCGAAGTCTGGCATGGAGGTGTCAGCAGGATTGCTTCCTCCTTAGGGCTGTGAAGGAGAATCATTCGAGTTCTTCTACCCTGTG